TGGCGGTTTCCACGACAACCGGACGAAGCCGTGGAGGTCCCACTTAATGCATAAAAGGCGTCATAGCTTGCCACCAAGTAAACAACTTAATTTCTTCCGTTTTGTGTCTATGAGAGCGCTTTCAATATCGGCCACTGTATAAATTATGTCTATTTTAGGCTATTCTTTGAGACGCATTTTAACGTCATTGCAGCGGCTGTCGGCGATACGTATTTTCTTAAAGTGTTGCAGTCCATAAATTTATTCTTGATATCTCAGCACATTCAGCTAAAAAAATTAAATTCATTTTAACAGTTTACTGTTTGAATGAAATCAAAAGAAATTCTATTTGACAGCATACTCGTAGAAGGAAGAATGTTGAAAAAAATGGCTGAAAAATAGAATCGAGAAATTTATTGCTGGAATATATGATGACAACTTTTTGCACAAAATTCATTCACATCAACACTGGCATAACAAGCAGCCTATCTAAGCGAATCCGGTGAAAAGCTAATTTCACACTTGAAGACATGTTCTCAACTCTGAGTCGTCTGGTTGATTTGGCAGTAGCATTGGGAGAGGCCTGTTGCGAAATTTCTTAATGATTTTAAGGCTAATTTGCAAAAGAAAGAGAACCTTTGACTTAGCCGAGCCAGTCCCTGGTTTAATAACCTCGTCATCGCAATCAAAAATGTTAACAACCAAAATTCACAAGTTTCATAAAAGTTTCGTGTTTTGCTCAAAATGACAGTTTGCACATGAGAAGATGAACGAAAATCAGAACATGACGATCTGCGAAAAAACATCTTGTAATGAAACGGGAGACTGACTGACTTTTTCCATTTCAGGAGCTCATAATTCATAACATTTAACTGTCGTTGTATTTGACTGTGTTCACATTTTTCTTGCTCGCATAGGTTTTATAATTCGCATGAATTTGGAAATTTCAGGAGCAGTGGAAGATATTTTGAGAATTCGCTTAAACTCATTTCTGGCCAAGGATAACAGTAGTATGATATGTGTTTTCATAAAGGGAAGAATAAGTGGATTCAAGTTATAGAAATCATCAACAATGAACACCATCTTTCAGGAAGGTTGGATAAAGTGACAGATTTCTTGTGCCGACGGTGGTAAAATAATGTTAAAGCAAAGGATTATGAGTCATAGTTCCATCAAACAGAATCCTAATCAATCATTTACCTTTGTTCAGCCCGTGTTTGAGACGCGGTCTTGCGTCCCATGCATCGCAAGCGCTTAAATGCCATGGAACGTGGTCTCTCTAGGCTTTTCGAAGCAACCGGGTGGTGAAACAGAGCTGCTGGTGTGAAGTGAGAAATTGATATTGTTAAAATACACCGTGCATTCGCCGTTTTAATACGGTATCATTATTTGTACCGTCATAGGTTCAATGGCTGTATCGAAGCCCCCCCCCCATAACGTCGGGTTCCATTTTGTCACACACTTTTCCGCTTCTATCCTATTTAAACAAACTAGTAGTGTCACGCTTTGGCATATATCCGTAAAGGCATTTATTCAGCCCCGCCCGGTTTTGCATCCACGTACTTGACGTTCCAAAATATTATGGAGCCTTGGCCTGCTTAAACGGCCCCTTAGATTATTAATAGCATGGAGATGAAGCGAAAAGATGACAGCAGAATTTTATTCTTTCCGATGGCATCACAGACTACCACATTGGTAGCAAATCCATAATACAGGGGTGTATTCTTTTGTGCACACAATTGTCGTTCGTAACACTAGTTATAATTTCAAATATGCAACAAGCCACTCCCAGCTAATACCAGAAACAGAAATCAATGCGGCTCAGTGAAGAAACGAGCCATAAGTAACTCCCAGTCAGAAAGTATGAACGAGACTGTCACTCAAAGAGTTGCAGACATTATTTCTCATTGATTTTTCAAAGACAAGTGACCCGTTTGCTTGCGGACGGCGATTCACGCATTTCATGCAAATTCACCTAATTACCTCGGTAACTCTGAATTGAAACTCCCTGTAATCAAAATACTATTAACTACTATAATAATTAGCGGTGGTGTCATATCGCTCATACTAGAACGGTGTTTAGACATGGAAAATGTGCAGAACAATCAAACAGACTAAGAACACGCAGCATAACAACACCTCTATACTATACGGTGATCTAACCACGGGAGAGATCATTCTCCTAAAAGTATGACGAAGCTCAGTGAAAAGTTTGTTAACTGGCAAACTGGTGGTCCGTTTGAAAAACAAGCTTCCATACAACTACATGAACCTTTCGGGAAGTGTGATATTCGTCACGTTTAAAGTGTTCAGCATTACGGTGATTTGCAAAAATCGAAAATATGAAACGCCTTTCTTGCCAGTTCAATAATGCCTAAGGATTATGACGACGTATTGCTCTCAAAGTCTTGATTAATTATTCATTAAAATTGCATTCATACCTCATTTTTCTTTAATCCTTCTTGGAAACAAAGTTTATTCTGTGACTTTGTTCAAACAATAAGTTTAAGTGTACGACCTGGGCAGAATGACATTTGAGCTTGCAGTGTTGATTTATTCGATAGGTGCTGTGGTCCACGACCAGAAGTTACTTATTAAATCTGCCAATTTACCTGAGCCAGAAACTGACGCCACAGACCTTCATGTAACCAACTGCTATGCAGGTATTGAGTGGCTGATTTGTTAGTATCAGAGGCTCAATCAAGTTATTTTTAACCTGTTCATTTTTAAGTTTAATTTATTTAGTTTTGATTTAACCAGTTGAGGTTCTATATTGTAATAGCTCTTAACAGGCAAAGACTATAAAATCTGCTAAGGTGCGAATGGTTAATAACAGGAGCTTCGCAGACCAGTATATCAGCGGACGTCCATAAAAAGAACACCAGCATCAAATGAGACAATGTACGAAGCCGCCCCCGCCCCGAAGACTACCACTGCGTTCATACTTTCACAGCCGTCGCTTGGACCATGCATTCTTACCGTCAGACCGCAGTATAATTTGCCGGTACCGACAGACACTTATTAATTATAATGACTGTGTGTGACAATGAACTGGATAATTAACTATCTGATACGGGAGTGAAATTTGTCCAAGACCTGATGTATAATGTAAATGAAAATAAAACACATTTCTTTACATCTGTTCATATGCATCGAAATCGCTTGCTCCGGTAGCTTAGTCATGTACTGAATAGTCGAATGTCAGGAACTGAAACTGCCTGGGACAATAACTTAGTTTCTATAATTTTTCTACCGGGTGGAAAAGTGTAGAGAAGGAAATTATTCATACCTTACGAGTCGTAAGTAGCTGAAGTTCTGAGAAGGATCATAGTTGTTCATTCTTCACAATACCATGTAAATTCGGACACATTCATATAAAGAAGTTCCACCGTGTTCGATTCTACCTTTGAATCGGTTACCTCAATATCGCCACTTCTCAACTTTCATTCTCAAAGAGTATCAACAAAAGCAGGATTTGTCAGAAAAGGAGCAGATCTGCTCGAAGCTATACGAATATGCCTGGACTCCACTCAATTTATATTAATAAAAAGACACCATGACTAACAGAATGAACCTAGAATGGGTGTTTTTCACTATCTCACATCGTGGCAGAGATGCAAAATGAACACTTCGATGAAACGGCACTGGAATCAGTGCAATTTGAACCGTTGGGTAGATGATGTTTTTGTCTATGGTTGGACATGAAAGAACAAATGAAAGTACTTCCTGAACACCTGAACTACTTCGATGGAAATATCCAGTTCATTCATGAACTGTAGGAGAATAGGGAAACTTACCTTGCTAGATACTCTGGTATACAGGAAGAACAAACTAAATGCAACACCGCATCCCAAAAGTTCATCCTCACCGGGCAGTGCATAAAATTCTATTCTCAGATCCTTAATATCAGCGACACCAATACTTGCTGAAATCCTATACTTTAGAAACAAAAGACTTGTGCAGAGACTTCTCGTTACTTCATCAACCTCATCGCCGAAATTTAGAAAAAGCGGCATCCAAAGACTTTCATCTATGAACTTAAGCCTGATCAAAAATTCAGAAGATACGACAAATAGCAGAGACTAATTCCCACTGGTCATTATGCTGCATTATCTACTGGTTATCCCATGAAAAAGTGCTGAAGTGCCAGAAACAAATATTCATGACTGAATACGGAGATAGACATTGTTTACAGATCCCCAAACAAACTTGTCAGTTCCCTTTTGGACCAAAACAAGATGATGACGCGGAAGTTTATCGGATATACTACTCGTGCGAAAAGTTGGTGACAGTGGAGAAACCTTTGGACAGCTGAAGAACCGGACCACCAAATGCAGAGCTTGTGCCAGAAGAACGGTTGAAAATGACTCTGCCGTTGCTGAGCAAAGTATACTAAAGAGCGACGTCACACAATAGGATACAAACTTTATCCTCCGAACGAAAACCAGTTTGGTAGAAAGGAAAGACTTTGTATGCTGCAAAGGTAGAATGGTCTAAAAGACGAACCAGCAGGCATACAGCAAAACATAAACTCAATATTTAAACTCTTGTTTTTCGCTACAAAGGCATCATCAAGTTTTTAAAACCTTGCATTAATACCACAGTCATTCAAAACGTGAGAAGGAAAGCCAGGACTCCGCACCGAAACAGAGATCGCCATTCAGAAAAGGCTCCGATCCCATATCCCCTCGAAACGTTTATTGAGGAACACTGACTCTTTTGAATAAAGATGGCATGGCACTATAATGTGGCAGCGTTAGAGCTGGGTCAGGAGCCATCGCATATACAACCATACTGACTGATATCTGCGATATGCTGTCACAATGTACCCTTGATAGCTGACAA